GGATCGGTCCAGAGCGCTTGCCGCGCCATTATGGTTTACTTTGGTGTCACGGCGGGCTTTGAAGATCATTTGATTTAAAGATCATTTATCGTATATTATGTTTCGGTATGTAGACTCTGTAAGGTAAATGTGATTGGGCCAATTTTTTCACTAACCCCATGACGTGTACTTATAGCCCAATAAACGGAATCTACAAGTGAGCTTATTTAATCCCCACCCAGGACTCACCATCCACTTCAGCATTTACAGCAGCCGATGATAACACAACGGTATCCGTGTTCGCAATCTTCATACGATTAAATGCGCAGCACGTGTATCACCATGCATGCCGCTTTGGTCCACGAGCAGGTTGACATGCTATTGCTTCGGGTTACCGGCTCTTGCGCGGTGACATCCGGCATTTTGTGTGCGGCACATCCGGCATGACAGCAAGGATTTCAAACGTTTCAAAAGTGGAAACGTTCTGCGCTCCACTAGGGCTAAGAACCATATGTATTCAACACTGACGTTCTGTGCCAGGCCGGGCAACTGCAGGTGTTTTTGCTACGATGCTTAGTTCATGTTGCGTTGTTCAGTCATACATTGTTCGCAATTGCACGCAGCTGTTGTGGTCTCCGCCAAAGGGAGGCGTAAATGTCGTCCGGCTCCTTCTTCTAGGTTTCACCTACCACCAGCATGTTGTGCCCCGCGTTCGAACGGAAGTCGGCCCAACATCCATGCGTGCGTTTCGAATGCGCCGGCATCTTAACCGGAAGATTGGCGGATAACGTCGACTCTCCCACCAAAGTGATGAGTCGTGTTCATCGGAGCAGACGTGGCAGCTGACGAACGCCGTCGAGCAAACCTCTGCGACCCCGGGGTCTGTGTCATCGGGGTCATCTGGGTCGGGGTCTGCTCTGTGGAGCTAGAGAATGACCGGGACTTCAGCTGTGATGCATGGGGAATGCTGCCAGTGTTTTAGTTTCACAGTGTGGCACATCATACGGCAGATTGGATGATGGTCTGCTTTTGACTGATGGGGAATGTTGACAGTGACTTGACCATCCAAACATAGCATAACATATTGCAGATGATTCACTGATGAGGCACGGTCCAGCCTCTCGCTCAGATCTTAAGCAGGATCTGAAAATCCTCCATACGCTGTTTCGTCTACAGTTCCGCATGCTCATATCTGCTTTTGAAACTGCATTTCTTAATTGTGTTTTTTTACACGTGCTCCGAACATTAGACTACCACAACTAATGAAACTCCCGGAACGGACCTACAGTGGCGTGCTTCGAGAATCTTAAGATGACTCACCACATTCAAGGTAGAAACGCTAATTTCCTTCCCATTGTTTTCAGCTGATGTGTTGGCATTGCCAGCAGACGCGTGTTCCGATAACATACGGGCGGTGCCACTGTTCCAGAGTCCGAGACACTGAGCAATGAAAATATCGCCACTCTGCTGGCTATTCTGCTGGTTTGGAAACTGGTTTGCAAACATTTATTCGCCTGCCATTCCCCTTGCAGCTCAAGGATATTTGGTTACGGCATGCTGTTTATCCCAACCTTCCTCAAGTTTGTGCAACAAAAATCTGCCATTCCCTGTGCACGTAAGAATATGTTGGTCATGGCATCATTGTTGTTAAGCCAAACGTACATAAGCTCGTGCCCCCAAAAAAGTTTCAAATCTTGCATAAAGAAGTAGATGTGCGAATGTTTTTTTGTTCTCCCTTGCATTAGTTTTTTCACCCCCTTGCGTTAGTCCTAACTTTTCAACAAAAAAAGATGACAGTAATAAATATCGGCGTTCTCAGTAAATTGCGTCGACTGATCATGTCCTGTTTTACCGGCATTCGTCCACTGGTATTTTGATTAGACGCTTTGTTATACATGCGTTGAAAGCGCGTATGATATTTAATGCATCAAAATGCGTCATATTAGAGAATTTGCATATCAACGTCCGCTGCCCTTTTCGCTCGCGACACTGCTCTTGCAAACGATTTCGCATTTACGCGTTGCAAAATAGGCACACAATAACAAAAAAAACCGACGTGACTTAAAGGCAATACGTACATTGTCACCGCATTCTGAGATCCTGTGTTTCAAGGAGTGAACTATTCTGTCCCTATCTCCTGGCATCAACCACGCATCGCCGACGATAGGCGCCTAACTAGGTCCCAAGGGGCCACAAATGAATGGCTGAGTGACCTCCAGCCATCGCATTAGTGGGCAGTTCGTTCCCACACGGATGCCGGGCGAGCTGCATCCTCAGCTTGTTGCCACGGTCCAGAGCGCCGGCCGCAGACGTCATTCCCGAGCAGTAATTAGTCCCTGGAGGTACAGGCCGTGCATTGAGCCTGCAGTGCGCGGCACTGCGCCTCGTCCCTTGATTTCTTACAGGTGACGGGAACCAATCCTGCCGACATCATGGGCATCACGACCCTCCCAGCAAAGGCTGTCCGATAAATGACGACCCTCCCGATCTGCAGCATCGCAGCCGGCGCAACACGCCCCTTCCGCGCTGTCAATGCCTCGGGGGACGACACGCGGCGCGAGTTGACCACTTCACCCCCGCCGCGCAGGGGTCCTCAATCTTTGTGGACCGCGGCGGCGCGGGCGGCGCCCCGCCTTACCGTTCGTAGCCCACTGCGAGCCGATCGGCGGTGCCCTCCGCCGCACCATTGTCCATCGCGACTGACGGCCGGCGGCTGGCCCGCCGCCCAGAAACTCACCGCATTGTGACGCCGCCCGACCCCCGCTGGTCTAGGCCGAGCGCGCGCCGAGACCGGCGGCCCTGTCGGCGCCCGGGGCGGCGGCGGCCGAGTGTCGACAGCCGGCCCCGGCCGCCCGTCTGGCGTCTGACCCGCCTGGTCAGCAGTCCGCCGCCCCGCTGACACGGCACAGCCGCCGCCCCCGCCCCGGACCGACCCACGATCTGCCCCCCCCCCCCCACACCCTGCGCCTCACGCCCCAGTAAAACAACGGTGCGTCTCCGAATCCGTGTTTCGTACGTCCAGGATCGCAGAATTTTAAGCAACAACTCCAAAGTTTGTACGCTGTAACACAACTCGCTCGCACGAAGAACAGGGTGGAGGCTCTACAGCTACGCCATGCCAATCATCGCACCGATAAAAATACTCCCACGGAAAGGTGTGCACAACTGGATGGCCGCGTGCCAGCGCCGCCGCAGCAGCGGGGCCGGCCGTCGGTGCCGGCGGAGCCCCGCGGCTTCGGCAGCGAGCGGCAGCGGGCGGCAGCGTGCCGGGGCCCGGCCGGCGACAGGGGCACACGCGACGCGCACATCACTTCTTCGAGCGCGTCGAGCGGGTGCTCTTGGTCGACGACGCCTGCCGGTCACGACGCAGAGGTCAGTCGGCGTCGGCCGGCGCTCGCCCTGGCGTGCCCCGCCTCCTCTCGCCCGCCCTCTGGCACGGCCCGAGGGTGCCGGGGAGCCACCTTCAGACACGCCACCTCAACATCGCCGACGACGAGGCGGAGGCGCCGGTCACCTACGTCATTGCTGATCCATCCGGCGCCATGCAGAACGCGCGAAACATGAATATCCCGTGCTTTTTCACGTGTGTGTAGCTGACCAGGTGCCGTATTTTTCCACACTAACGCTGATGCATACAAACACCGAGGTTACAATCAGTGAATGTCATACTGAAGAAGCTAGTTAAGCTAGTTAAGAAGATAATTTTCGCTGATTTGGCTTGAATGGTAACAGGAAATGACGTCTCAAGAAATCGTCCCTACAACGGTCAGTAGATCCGTCGTGAATCGAAAATAATCGAAAGGTCTTAGAGCGAAGTGATCCACCCTGTGAGAGGTGTCAGTGTGTCTGACAGCGATGGGTTGTCTTGTAATGGGTATTCGTAACACAATTAATATGTTTCGTGCACCCTAGTGACTCACCAGTCGTCTTGTGACGAGTGTCAGTGATTCGCCGAGTCGTCTTGTACGAAAAGTGACTCACCAAGTCGTCTTGTGAGCATGTCAGCTACACATAGAGTTGTTTTGTAAGGAGTGTCAGTGACTCGCCAAGCCGTCTTGTTTGGAGGTTAGTGACTCACCAAATCGTCTTGTATGAAGGTCAATGGCTCACCGATGCGTCTTGTGAGGAGTGTCAGTGACTCACCACGTCGCCTGGTATGGATCGTTATTGACTCACCGAGTCGTCTAGTCAGGAGTGTCAGCGACTCATCCAGCCATCTTGTGAGGGGTGAAAGTGACTCATTGAGTCATCTTGTGAGGAGCGTCAGTGTCTCACCGAGTCGTCTTGTAAGGAGTGTCAGTGACTCACCGAGTCATCTTGTGAGGAGTGTCAGTGGCTCAGAGTTGTTTTGTGGTGAGTGTCAGTGGCTCAGAGTTGTTTCGTGATGAGTGTCAGTGGCTCACCGAGTCGTCTTGTGAGGAGTTTCAGTGACTCACCGAGTCGTCTTGTGAGGAGTGTCAGTGGCTCAGAGTTGTTTTGTGATGAGTGCCAGTGGCTCACCGAGTCGTCTTGTGAGGAGTGCCGCGCCGACTTGCGGCTGGGTTCGCCCGGCTCCGTCTTGACGACGGCGGCCGGCGCGGTCTTCCGCTTGCCAGCCCTGGAGGTCGGCTCCGCCTCTGTCTCAGTCGACCCCTGCTTCTGACTGCCGTTCACTGGCCTGGAACTGAAAGGCGGCGGGCGTTAGGAGCAGAACGAAACAGGAAACTGAACATGCATGACGTGGGAGTGCTGATGTCACTGTATGAACTGGCAGGGCGCAGTCCTGTCGAAAGCAGATGCGTGAATTTGTAACGCCCACGATATTTGGTCCGATCAACGACGCAAAATGGGCTTACAGCCCATTTTGCGTCGTTGATGAGACCAAATTAGTCATAAGCAGCCAGTGTCACGGAAAATTATGTTTTGCCACGCGAAAACGGCTACAATGGCTGCATCAAACACGTAAAGCGTAAACGCTGCGCAAAGAGCTGCCTTAACAGGTGGCAGCTGCTCATATACATTTTAATAATTGTGTAAAACTGCCGCGGCGCTGAGCGTGTCCACCGTTCTCATTAGCAAAACAGAGACACTGCAAAAACAAAACAAAACAGTGGCAGCGAAGCGGCGAATAAGCAGCATGAAATAAGTACAGCGTGAGAGGCTGTCATGTTCGTTGATAAGGGACTGGAGCAAGAATCCACCGGAGGGGAGTGAGGCCGCGGGACGAGGAGCCGATATCACTGGCGGTGCGATCGCTCACATACTGCCCCGATCTTTTTCGACGAACTCGTGAGCGCTCATATGGAAGGCAAACGCCAAAACGATTTGTTCCACTTGGCCCCAGGATTGACGAAGGCACTAATCCAACATCCAGTCACTGCCAGCGAGCCCTCCCGACAGGAAGTCCATCCGAGTACCGAACCCCCCGTCCTGCGCCAGCTCATGACTCCGCCACAGCCCCGGACAGCACGGGCACTACGCGGACCCTGGTGACCCCCTCCCACGGACCCCGAGTCAGCACTCACCCCGAGTCGGTCTCCTGCTCGTGCCGCCTTCTCGGCGCCCCTGGTGCGCGTGCTCCGCGACGACGTTCGCTGATTGGTCCCGCCGCCGCCTCCTCCTCGGCCGTCGGTTGGTCGGCGCGGCCGCGGCTCGACCGCTGCGTTGGCGAGCCGGTCGGCGACGCGCCCTCGGCGCCTTCTTGAAGTAGCTGTCCGGCCGGGCGCGCCACACAAGGGTCAGAAGGTCGCCGACAGGCGCGCAAGGGACACCGCAAAGTGAACATCCCCGAGCTAGCGCGAATGACAATGCCCACAGAATGGTGGCTGCGAGGTGACGCATGACGCCCTGATGCGGGCCTTGATGAGCGGGAACGCACGGCAGGCTGATCTGAAACACGCAACACACCGACCCGGTTGTCTTGCGGCTGATACACCCAAGTGTTCTTACTTGGTGATTTTCTCCTGTTTGGAGGGGCTGTCGGCGACGGAGGAGCGCTCCGAAGCCGAGACGTCCGCACCGCCGGCGCTGTCCACCGCTGCCCGACATTGACACACGCCGTCAACACACGGGAACGGCACGGGAGATAAACACACTCAGCAGGACCCGCGTGAGGGCTGGGCGGCACGAACCTCGCCGAGAGCACTGAAACTATAACACGTGCGCCATCATAAAGCAGGCACGTACCAACGCGTAATCAACCAGACGCCGGAGCCGCGAGTGACACGGCCACGCCCGCTCAACCAGCGGACTGAGCACAACAGCCAACGACAGAAGACCACCAACAGCCCCACGGTGCCTTTCACCGCCTCCCCACAGCAGCGCCACCCCGACCCCGACCCTGCTCCGGGGACCAGCCGGCGCGTGCACTCACAGTCGTCGTTGCGGTCGCGCTCGTGCGTGGCGCGGCGGCTGTAGGTGGCCGGTGGGTCGCGGATCAGCCGCTGGCTGCTGGCGGTGGCCGCCGGCGCCGCCTCCTCGTCAGACTCGGCGGCGGCGCCCTGCCGGCACCGCGGCACGGTCGTCAGCGCACCCGCCGAGGCCGAGGCGCTGGGAGGAGCACCCCTCCCCCTTCCCTGCACAGCGGGCATCCGAGGCTGGCTTCCACGGCCGGGTGGCGGGCGGCGCGGCGCGAGGACACCAAGTGTCAAGTACCACGGGTGACCTCCCATCGTGCAGCTCTCAGTTCCGTCGCACCAGCCAGGTCAAATACCCATCAGCGGAGGTCAGCGCCGCTTACGTTGGCACCCAGCTCTGTACAACGCAGAGGACCGTCCGTCAGAGGGCGTTGGGCAGCGAACGGGAGTGGAACGGCCACTGACCTCGGCCGGGACTGACACCGCTCCACCGGCCTCCTGCACGATCACAGTCAGCTCCTTGGGCCCGTCGGCCTTGGAAGCGCGAATCTGCTGCGCCAGCTGGATGCGCTTGTTGATCATGGAGTGGCTGTAGGTGCTGGAGATAATGCCGCCGCGCTTGCCCAGGTGCTGCATCTCGATCGGCAGGTACAACTTGCCTGTCGTCGGATGTGGAAAGGTCAGTCGGCTCAACTCTAACGAAGCGTTCGCCGCAGCACGGTCTATACAGCGACCTTTGAACGCAACACGTAGTGAAGAGCTGTGTCCGTTACGCCATAAAACCGGGACCATCCTGGCTACAGACGAAGAATGCTGCGCGGCTCAATGAAGCGTTGATATCACTAATGAACGCACGAGCCGCGAACGTCACTAGCGTTGACGATCTAGTTGGCGGAGCTGCCACCATATCAACCAATGCGAGAGGCCGGCGGGGAAACTGATCTGAACAGGCGACTGTCGCACTCGCTGCGCACGCCGCCACGGAGACCGGGCCGCTGTCGGCGCGCGGCGGGCACTGCGGCGACAGTCGCGTTCCGACGCGGCCCGCGCCACTGCCGGACGGCCAGCGCACGCACCGTTGACGAAGTTGGGGTCGGCCGGCTTTCGGAAGTACATGGGCGGGATGCGCGGCTCGGATGGGAACTCGCGCATCTCGAAGTTGGTTGTCTTGGTGAGCAGCAGCCCCATGGCCAGGTCACAGACGGCCCACAGTTTCTGTCGGCGGGGGGGGGGGGGCGGTCAGCGCGGTCATCCGACCCGGGCCGGCACGGGCAGGTTTCTCCCGATGGCGGCTGCTGGTCTGTTCCGTCGCTCGTCCGACGCACGCAAGCCACCGTTGCTCGCTATGCCGGATATTGACATCCGCTTGAGGAGTCATTCGTGTAGTAATGCTGGGACGAGGCCAGCGTACAGCCAGCCACGCATGGCCCCGAAATGGTGCGGAAACACGCAGCGATAGGTGGCAGCACTCAATCATTACCGGATATGAGAAACGTCTGGACGACTGACTCAGAATAGTCTTTATGTTACTTGCAGTACCTAGATGTTATGGTCAACGCACTTAATGGTGGCCACGTTGTTCCGAGGCAATAAAGAGGTTGTAGACATCCCACCTGGTTTGCTGCCTCTTCCTCGCTCCGAACGGCGTCCAGGTGGTTTTTCATCCGCTCCACCAGAGCCTTGTAGAAGCCGAAGCAGTAGTTGTCGTTCTTCGTGATCAGTGGCTCCAGAATGAACCTAGCAAGACAGTCCAGAGGTTTAGCAAATGAAGCAATGAAACACTAACATATTTAAACCTCCAAATCACGACGGGGGTGCTCACGTGTTTTAGACAACACTCCAGACGCAAAGGTTTCACACGACGGCAAAGCGTCAGCAGCTGATCAGAATGGGAGACGACATCGAATCCCGCTAGTGAGGATCCCGCGCTCCTCACAAAGGACACCGGTGCCATACTCTCTCATAAGAAATAGCAGACGATGTGGCACCTCTCATCAGACTGCAGCAGAAAAAAAGCCTCGCCAAAAATACACGCATCCGATAAGCCACGCCGATAAAGGGCCTGTTGCCAGACAGCTGGACCGAATCCCAATCGCCCTACCAGAGGCAACAAAAGACAAAGTATCTCATCTCACACAGCAGGTCTCACCCGAGGCCGGCCGGCGCCGGGCCGCGGCCACTCACCAGAGACAGGAGCGGATCTTGGTGAGGTATTCGACGTCCTCGTACGAGGTGAAGTCGGGGTCGTGCGCCAGGATCGGCACGGCAAACACCAGCATGTAGTCGGGCATGATGTGAGGCAGCTGGTCAGCCGCCCGCTCCGCTGCAGGCGAGAGGCGCCGTCAGCCGGCACCACCCCTCACCCAGCGGGAGCGAGCCGACCAAGCTCGCCGGAGCCGAGCCGTCAGCCGAGCGATCCGCCTCCTCCCCGAGACGGCGAAGCGAGTTGGCCGGGCTCGTCCGCGCAGGGAATGGCCCAGCGCGCTAGCGATCAACTATCAGACTGTTTGTCGCCGCAGGCCGTCTGCGGCAACTCGCAGATACAATACGTAGCACGGGGAGTTCGCTCGAGTCAGGGTCAAGGCAGATTTCAACGAGGCCTCATGTACAGCCATAGAGATATGGCGTGCCGGAGGACAACACGACGGTGTTTGGTCTGAGAAGCAGGGGGAGGGGGGAGGGCAGGGCGAGTGCCGCTCAAGACCATTGCATGGAGCAGGCGCTCACGCTTACCCCGACCCCGCACGTAATGAGCGTCGCACTCCGGGGACCAGGACGCGAACAGACTCGACGGATGGCGGAGCCGTTCTTCTCAGCCCCTGGCAGCTTTAAGGACAGCTCCCTCTCGCAGAGGAGCGCCGCACCACCGACTCTCGCGCCAGGGACCGCAGAGCGAGCCGGCTCGCTCCGCCTCCCCGCGGCCGGAGCGACGCGCCACTCACAGCCGCCGGTGAGCAGCAGGCTCTTGATGACGTCACGGCGCTTCAGGATGTCGGCCGACATGTAGCTGCGCACGATGGACTTGAGTCGCTTGTCGGGCTCCTGGCCGGCCAGCGCGTACATGCCCATGAAGTCGAGCGGCAGGCACTTGTGTGGGATGCCGCGGCTCAGGCCCTTGTGCAGCTTGGCCGCGAACCTCTCCCGCACCTGCGCACACTCGTCCTGTCGGCCGCAAGGATCACAGGTCACATGAGGTCACGGGTCAGGTGGGGTCACAGGCCAGGCGGGTCACGTGTCAGGGGGTCACGGGTCAGGCGTAGTCAAGGGTCCGGCGGGTTACCGGTCAGGTGACGCGTTGAGACCCGTCCGACGGGCTCAACACGGAAACAACACAGAAATAGCAAAGCCGAAGACTTGCACACAACCTTCAAAGCTATTATCTCATCCATTGCACCACTCATCAGTGACAGCAGCCAGATCACTAGAAGGTAACCTCCAGGCGACCCACAAACGATTCCGCACGGCACGTTGTGTGTCTGGCGCTTCAGTGCATGGAGTTGCGCACCCCCGTTCTTCGGAGCAGCGCCGCCGGGGGCCACAGCACGACGCTTACGGCCATCAGGAGGGAGAGGCTGTAGAACTGGTCGGCGGTGAACTGGTCGCCGACACCCTTCTGCTCGCAGATCTTGAGCATGGCGGCCCCGGCCGCATACCGCAGCCAGGCCGCCTCCGGCTTACTGGGGGACGGCAGCGGCGCTCGGTCAGAGAGGCGCGAGTGCCAGGGACAGAGTGGCACGCGCCGAAGCCAACCGAGACGCGCCAGCGGACACGCCGTGGAGACCCTGCTGAGCCGCGCATCCCGCGACCACGGGCGTTAGAATACTGTTTACGGGATCGGGAGAATAGCACAGGAGCGTTCCGAAAGACCCCCTCTCACACACACACACACACACACACACACACACACACACACACACACACACACACACACACACACACACACACACACACACACACACACACACACACACACACACACACACACACACACACACACACACACACACACACACACACACACACACACACACACACACACACACACACACACACACACACACACACACACACACACACACACACACACACACACACACACACACACACACACACACACACACACACACACACACACACACACACACACACACACACACACACACACACACACACACACACACACACACACACACAACACACACACACACACACACACACACACACACACACACACACACACACACACACAAACACACACACACACAACCACAACACACACACACACACACACACAACACACACCACACACACACAACACACAACACCTCACTCACTCACTCACTCACACACACACTCACTCACACACACACTCACTCACTCACTCACTATCAACTCACTCACTCACACTCACTCACTCACTCACTCACTCACTCACGCACTCACTCACGCACTCACTCACTCACTCACCCACCCGCCCCAGTAGTCGGTCACTCACTTGACCCTGCCCTCTTCCAGCAGGTTCGCCGCGGTGGATAATGAACGCGACCAGCATGCGGAACGTCTTCTGCGCCGAGATGACGTCATCCTTGAGCCCGATCAGCCAGCGCGCCATCAGCTTCATGCCCTCGATCTTGCAGCGGATGCCCTCGGGCAGGGCGTCCTCCTCGCACCACTCGTCGTCCAGCTCGCCGCTGTCTGTCAGGTCCTGAAAAGGCCCGGGGGCGGCGGTCAGACGAGCCGTCGCGCGGGACGGGCAGCGGTCGTGTCGACACGTGGCGCAGCTGATGCTCGACCAGTAAAGGGCTCGCGCGGGGTGGCGGACGGTCTGTTAAAGGGGGTGTTCTACATCTGTAGATATTGAAGCAAGCACCGGATCTGATTAAACTCACTCATAACCATGTGTACACTTGTCAGCGGAAAAGACTGCTCTAGAAAATACAGTTTCTCTGTTTAGTAATTGCGCCCCTCAAACCGTCATTGTTCGGTTTCTTCCTCGTGCCCGGCACAGCATTAGTTAAGAGACGATTGACGCTGTTATACCTGGAAATCGTGCTTACGAACGCTAGATACATACGACTCGACAATTATTTTTGTCCGGACTAATAAAATGGCGGGATCTGAGTAACGTCGTTATGACATCATGAATGCCTACGTGACCTCGAAATACCCTCCCCGAAAGACTGCAGATTTCCACGGGCACGCAGCTCGTGGAATTCGCAGCTCGCAACTAGAGGGGTTTAGGTCCTAAGGAGGGGGCAAGGCTGTGAACTGCACCGAATGATCTTCAAAATGACTTTTTCAGTTCAAAACCCGACGCAAAAGTAGACATTCCTTTCAAAGGATGATCACATAGGCGTTTTCCCTGCTTCTTAAGCATGATCATTTGCATTTACAAGCTCCACAATGAGATCATACATGTTTGACATGACCAGTGGCAGTGTAATTTGATGAATGCGCGCTGTGTTGACTCATAGTTGACGGTGATGGCGACGACAGAGTTCTGCACGACGTCACAGCATCTCTCGCAAGAGTGGACAGCACACTCACCTTCATGAGCAGGTCTTTCACGATCTTTCTGGAGACAATGTTCTTGATCTGGATGGGGAACTTGCCGGACAGGTAGAGGGCGATGTGGCCCAGCGAGACGATGGATGTGCGGTAGTGCTCGTGGCCCAGCTCCAGCTGCGCCTTCAGCCTCTGTCGAGCGGAACGCGACGTCACGACGGGCACCGGCCAGCGGTCCTACGAGCGCCGCTTGCACGCACGCACCAGTCAGTAGCGACCTCACCACAGGGGGAGGGGGGGGGGGGGGAACTGTAGCATACGTCGCCGCCAAACTGAGTCAACAGCAGTGACCAGCAATAGGGCCCATCAAATGGAACAAGACGTTCGCCGAGCCCACCCCGACACATTTTACGCCCGATCCAGCGGCACTGTCGCAACAGACCGCCGCCTGGGGCGTCGCGCCCCACAGCCGCCACACCGCGGTCCGCTACCGCCGCTCACCTCCAGGATCTCGGTGAACACGCCCTCCTGGTTATCGGTGACGTTGACGTACAGGCAGCGGATAGCGTGCTTGGCCTGCTTGGGTGTGCCGGTGGTGGCCAGCTGCTGGCAGACGGGCACCAGCGCGTCCGCCAGCTCGGGGGAACTCGGCAGCCAGCGGCCGGTACTTGCCGACGAAGTGCAGCACGCCCAGCACTTTGGGCGTCACCACGTCGTCGTTGGTTTGCAAGCATCTCCAGCAGCACGGCCAGGATGTCGGCGTGCAGGAACTGGGCGGCCTGCACGTACGACATAACGAACAGCAGGCGGAGGCCGCGGCCGACGGCAGCGCCGGGCTCGATGTTCAGGTCCTGAGCGGAGCCCGGGTCGCGCACCGCCTCCTCTACCATCTGCACCAGCGCCAGCAGCGCGTCGTGGTCGATCATCACCGACGACACGCGCTCCAGCAGCTGCTTGATGGTGTTGTAGTAGAGGTTGGTCATCACCGGCTGACCGAGTCGCTTCAGCACCATGTTGACGCTGTCGACGCTCTCGCGGCACGAGACCGTCGGGTTGATGACCGTCTCCATGAGGAGGAGCAGCGCCTCCTCCTGCGCCAGGTGCACCGAGAACTTGCGGATGAACTCCTGCGCCTTGACGGGGTCTGGCAGGAACTTGGATAGGTAGCTGATGCGCAGAGCTTTCTCCTTCTCGCGCTCGTCGGACGGCGGCGCCCGATGCAACTCCAGCAGTTCCTGCACCGTCTTCCGCACGCTGCGACACCAACAGGACGTCAGGTGTAACTCCTCCCCTTCTCCCTCCCCGAGGAACACGCCCACCCACGCGCTGGCACATTTTCGGCGCAGTACCGCAAACAGGTCCTCACAGACGGCGGAGATTCGGCCGAAATCGAGCATTTATGCCAACGTGATCAATTTTAATTTGGTAAATTGCAACATCACCTTCCTGTTCAGCATGTTAAAAAGTAGACGTCGAATTACTTGGATTCCGCGGAACCAGCAACTTAAACAATACTCCTGAGCCTCGGTCGATCCAGCCATTACTGGAAAATGGCCCCCAGCTATTTCGTATCGAGGGTCGACAAAACGACTCAAACAAACGTTGGAATCTTCTACACTGTCCCACACTCACACACACCACTCCCTCCTATCAACTCACGCCAGTTGCTGCTTCTGCATTTCGATGAAGGCCTTGGTGGCGTTCTCATCGAGCGTGGCGAACAGGTAGTAGAGCTTCTTCATGCGCTCCTCGGGCGGCAGCGTGAACGGCACCAGGCACGTGTTGACGATGCGCTCCACCAGCAGCCGGTCGTCCAGGCTGGTCATGTAGTAGCCGTGTAGGATTTTGTCCTGCGGGGGCGGCGACCTCGCTCAGCCCCGCGAACAACAATCATCCACTTATAACAATAATGCATGGTATGAGGTTAAATGACTCACGCCTGTATCAACGCATACCAGCCCTCAGGGGATATGCATTGTCGCTTTTGCATCAGTTTGTCTGCACGAAACTCGCCGCGCGGACGGAAGGGGAGTCGCTGCGGCTGCAAACTCGGTGCGCCATCCCGCACCCGAGCAGCTCACGCTCTCCGCACCCGCTCACGTCTCGGCTCGCCCGGCGCGTGGCGCGCGGCCGCACAGCGAGACCCCCCTCCCCCCCCCCGAAACACCAGGCGCCCCGGCGCGCGCCGCCTGGCGACCGCGCGAGTCGGGTCGACGCCCCCCCCTCCCCCCGCCCTGCCCCCCCCCCCACAGCTCAGCACGGGGGCGAAGGGAGGGGAGGGTACCGCGCCGCGGACGGCGCGCCCACCTTGATCCAGGTGATGGCCGTGCGCGTCGCCTCCGGCACGTCCGGGTTGCTGAGGTACTTTCTGTAGATCATGGCCAGCCCGCACATGGCCTCCTTACGGATCTTGAACTTCTTGTCCAGCGTGCGCTCCTTGACGAAGTTGAGCAGCGCCTCGCTCTCGGAGACGATGCTGAAGTCACGCTTGGCCGTGGCTACGATGGCCATCACCACCTCGTACCTGTGCCGGGCCGTTCAGGACGTGTTAGCGCGAGCCACGGACGGACACTCCGCGGGGGTCACAGCAGCACTGATAGCAGGCCAGCGCCACTCAGGAGAACGTAGCGGGACGTACGCCGGTGGACAGGCAATCTCGACAATCTCCGCTCAAAGCGCCTGCCCCACAGCAGAGCTGGCGGCGCCGGACCCGGCCGACGGAGCGACGTGGGAGACTGGGCGGCGCCTCTGGCACCTGACCGGGCCGCCGGCCGCACTACCACACCACCGAGACCGACCCAACGGGGACACCCAGTCCGAACCAGACCGGCTGCTCAGACAGTCGGACGGCCTCGTCTGAGCCATGTGCACTGACTTGATGGCCTTGTCCGAGCCACGTCCACTGACCTGACGGCCTCGTCCAGGTCACATGGCTTCGTCCGAGTCACGCCCACTGACCTGACGGCCTCGTCCGAGTCACGTCCACTGACCTGACGGCCTCGTCCGAGTCGTGCTGGCGGAACTTGAGCGTATCCGTGATGTCGCTGCGCAGCTCCGGGTGGTTCAGCAGGAAGTGCATCGAGTACTGCACGCACTTGGTGCGGATCTTCACGGAGATGTCGTTGAACCTGACGGCAGTCACCACATCTAGGATGTCACACGGGAACCCCGCCGGCACACATCTCCCGACCACGAGTCGACCAGGCCACCGCCGTACGACACGGGCTGCTCGCCAGCCGGCCGACCGCAGCCGTCGGCCGGGCGCCCGGCCGGCGCGCGCCTCACCTGCCCAGGAAGGCCAGCCACAGCTGGCGGTGGTGCATGGCGAGGTTGGACTCCTGCTCGGAGAACATGCGGGCCAGCAAGCTGACGGCGTGGAACCGCTCGTCCTCCTCGGTAGACTTCAGCTGCGGTGGAAGAAGACAACGGGCCGGCTTGTCACGGTCGCTTCTCTAGCGCGGTGGCGTCACAGCGCGTGGCAAAGGGCGCGGGGACTCATACCACGGGCACTGTCTTAGCATGCCGACGATCAACATGTCTGTTCATTATTCAGCCCGTGACGCACATACCAACTACGCCTAACACTACGGACTGCACGGAATGTTGCGCCCTTTCCCCGAGCCAGGTCGATACTTTTGTCTACTTGCCAAACAAATGGCACTCCGCTCGCGCCCTGACAGTGACAGCTCCCCGTCATTCAGCGACGGATCGCCGGCGGCTCCCGCCGACACATTCCGGCCCGACGGCGGGACGCCGCCGCCGCCACCTCCGGCATCCACTCCCCCGCCGGAGCGGGCTGGCCGAGCCATCGCCGGCAGCGCCAGACCGGGCAGGGTCTCACCTTGAACTCCAGCTGCGGCACCACGGCCAGCAGCACGGTCGGGCAGATGTGGTTCAGCTCGTAGATCAGATCGTACACCTTGCGTGAGATACCCAGCTTCTTCTCCTCCTTGCCCAAGATCAGCACGTGGTTGAAGAACTGCCGCGCAGACGTGCAGAGCATTCAGAACATTAATTCAGGCGTTTCAGAGGAGAGGAAATGCACATCCCACACACAATATTTTCAGATAGCTGGGCACAGCTGTGTGGCTGCCAGATCAAGTTCCACAGAAGTATGGCAGTTACCTCAGAATACAACATGAGTGAACAAGATGAAAAAGCCACGTCGTTGTCTAAGCCACCCTAGGTCACACATATAAATTAACATCCCACATTTACACATATGTATACACCAGGTGTGCCATAACAGAGGGCGCAGCATTAGCTCACTGCTTGTATGTAGGGCTCCAGCGTGTCACTGCACTTCATGATGAGCTCCTTGGCCAAGTGGTAGGGCGTTACGCGGTCGACTTGGCCGGCTCCCACGACGTTCATCAGGATGATGTCCATCAGCTCGTTTTGAGACCACGTCAGACTCGTATATCAGCGGGCAGAGCACGTCCAGCATGAAGCTTTTCACCTTGCCGGAGTGTTCGTCACTGCAAGCGGGAGGTGGGTGGCGTGAGACGACCAAGCCCGTCCTATGTGAACCCCAGTATCGTGACCAGAGTGTTTGTCAAAGCGAATGGGATGAGGCGTGTGACTACGGTGGCCGCGCCTCGTCTTCCTCCAACCAGGAAGGCGACGTTTGTCCGGGTGATTGTACTGAGGCCATGCACTGCACGCAAAAAAACATTGTCATTTGGCTGTCAGGATAGCGGAAAATGCTAGCACAGCTGCGGACTACGTGGGTGGCAGGGTCCGGTAGTCGTGCAACAGCCCGCGTCTGATCAGGAGCCTGATCGCAAAGCCGATCAAGTTAATCCATACTGCTGGACTTCCATGTTGCTGCTGGTGGATGACGAAATCTACAGAGCTCCGTTTCAAGTCTAAAATACACATCACCTCACAAGGAGGAATGAGGTCAACCATGCCGCCCAGACAAACCAATACAAAACTGCTTTAACTTTGCTTACTTGACGATCTTGAATGTCAGGGAGAAAAGACTGCATATGATTTCATTGCTGTCTTCCAGTTCCAGGCACATGTTGAAAGATTTGACGTATGCGAGGTTCTCCAGAAGATAAAAGTAGCGCTTGAAAGCAGGATCCTTCGGATCCTTCAGTCCAGCCAGCTGCTTTATCAGGAACATGAAAATTGTCTGAAAGGGAACGACACGGCAACGTAGTAAGGTAAATGGGCCTCGGCCTAGACATGAAGTGTTCTGAACGAAAACCACGCGCAGAATAGGTGCTCACGATTGAATTTTGGCAATTACGCATTCTTTAAATCTACTGGAAATACAGCGAACCAAAATAAGCAGTCTGGGCACGGAGGACAGGACACGTGAAAACCAAATCGAAACACATGTGACCAGTCAAGACCTAGGCATAGGTTAAAGGAGACACTGAGGAACTCCACGCCATTTGATAGCAATCTGCAGCCATCAGGGCGTAACGACCTCCGCCAGTGCGCGACAACGCCGACTTCCTCCGACCACGCCTGCACATTCGTCCGGGGCGACACCGGCACCCGGAGCCGTCCCGTGCCACGGCCCTGACCCTGCCACGTCCCCGCCGCCGCACTCACCTTGACCTGGGCCGGGTCCTTGTACGGCGCCTCGGGGGCGTACACTCGGAGCACATCGGCGATGCAGCAGGCCACCAGCAGCTGCACGTCCTTGCTCGGGTACTCGCGAAAGTAGTCGTCGGCGATGTGCTTGGCCAGCGGCAGGTACTCCTGGTACGCGCCGTCATCCTGCACCATCGACTGGTACGTGTGCGCCAGCGTCTGCAGCAGCGGGGGAGGGAGGGGGGGGGGGGGGTCAGAATGGCGCGTGACGGACGGCAGAGCTGCCGTGTCTGCAGGGCGCCGACCAGCGCGTGTAGCAGCTAGGTAGAAGTGTATTTGAGTCACTGGGTACTGCGCGATCCTTTGCGAACATGATGCGTGCCTGACATTGACATGATCTTCACCTACATCGAGAACTGGCAGTTGGAGTTATCACACCGGAAAGAGGCACGTCAAGACGTTTTCTGTCCACCTGGCGTCGCGCGCGGTCGGTGAAGCGAGGAGGGTCATTGTACGCAGCGTTACGACGGGGCACAGCGGTGACTTTTTGAGCTGTTAGTCGGAATTTGGTAACCAACCCAGATTTGGTTGGTCTGCCTCAAACCTCCACTCATGAAACTGGAGCCCCCCCCCCCCCCCCCAAGCAGTTGGAGGCTGAAGGAAATGCTAGTGCAGTCCGCAAGCATACATCCACAGCCATAACATCGCCAAGGTAAAAAAATATGCTTTTGTTCCTGGGCTGAAAGGCAGCTGGCTCACCAGCTAATGCCAGACACTGCAGCTTTGGAACAGAAAAAGGTGTCATGTAATCAGTAATAATGACACCAGCAGCCAAAAGTCCAGCCAACCACCATCTCTGCCCGTCGCTGATTGGCTCCGCGCGATGCCACGTGACATGACGCAACGTGGCAAAACCTTTTGTCTCAAAACTGTGACGTCTCATGAAACTTGAACACTTATAACCACAAGCAGCATTCAAAGTTTCACCATGTCTTGCTGTTCCTCTCTTAAATTTAATATTTAATTCTGGCACCACCTGGGGTACTCTGCCACCCACGATTGCCCACGTGGATGGGGTTGGGGCCAGATCAGGTCAGAAAGTTCAGATTACAAGTGATAGCCCAATTACTCATCCAAAAACCAATGAGCTGCTTCTT